ACCCCCCCCCCCCCCTCATCAAAAAATGTTTGATTAGCTAATAAGGTAAAATTTAAAAAAAAAGAGAAAAAAGATAAATTGAATGAAATAAAGTAAATCAACAGGTAGAGAATAAGATTGATTGAAAAAAAGACAAAAAAGGTCCCTTTTTTATTGTAGGAGACGGTCAGCCAGAAGCTCTGAACAAGAAAGCCATTCAGATTGTGAACAGGGTCAGGGATAAACTGACAGGTGAGCTTACGATGCAGTTCCACTCCAATAGTTTGGGATAGTTCAACTTAGCACAGTGTTGTAAAATTGTAATTGTGATTGCTGAACACAGGGAGTTCAAACTTACACCACTGTTGTGCCTGATGGTGGATGTTAATGTTGTGGAGAAACCCATATTTTTTCTTCGATCCTCAGTCAGTTAAAACAGTTAACATGAACATTACGTGTAGATTTTTTTCATTGGACTGCAAGAGAATTGAATCATGTAAATGCCTATTCTTTTACCCAACTTTGATGCCTGTGAGATTACCATGTGAAAGCAGTTTTGAAAAAGTATTATTGTTTATTATTTTTATTCCAGGTCGTGATTTCCAGTCAGATGAGTCCATAGATGTTCCAACCCAAGTCAACCTTCTGATCAAACAGGCTACTTCCCATGAGAATTTGTGTCAGTGTTATATTGGATGGTAAGTGGCTTGTCTTGATTAAAATATACTGACATCTATGGGAATGTTGTCATTTTTGCAAAGTTATGTGATTGACTTGTCTCAGAAAAAAAAAACTGATATGGGGACAGAATTTTAACAAACTGTGTCAGAATGGCAGTAAGTAGAAGTAGCTTGTCCTAATTAAAAGTAAAAAAAGAAGAAAAACAATGTCTGTGGTTTAGGTTTTATCATTTTAAATTAATGACGATTTTTTTGCTCATTTCAGGTGCCCATTTTGGTAAACTAGCACATGGGTGAACACCAGCATTTAACTACACATCTAGTAACCATGCATCAACAATGTTGGACTTTATTGCCTCTGAGTCAGCTAGTGTGCCATTGTCAACTGTTCAATTTTCGCCCATAAATTCAGTCTGATTTAATTATCCTTATTGACTTTTAAAAGTATACTTTATTGTATTTTTCAAAACTAGAATTTGATCAAGTAAAACCAAATGTGCTTACACCTGTGAAAATTTTGTCAGTGATTCAAATACCAACAAGAAGGTAGTCTTGATTGTGATTGGGACGATAAACAATATTTATTGTAAAAATGTAAGGATGAAGTACATTTATGTTTCATTCTATGAACTGAATATGTAAAGCGTGAATTTCTAGTCAAGAAAACATTTCATATATAAAGGCATTGTTAATAAAAGCCGTTAAGTCACATTAGCACATCATTGTAGGAATTGGAAGGATAAATGGAATGAAATGACGAATAAGATATGCTGATCGAGATCAGATTTATTGTTGACTTTTAATTGCTTTGCGGTTTTCTCATAATAAATTATAATAATAAAAATGTTCCTATTGCACCCAGTACTGACCAGAGCATCTGATGGCTTGTCAATTTGCTCAATAAATATCGCCATTGGCTTTAATAATACGTTTTTGTCTGTTAATTGCAATGATCTTGAATTTTGAGAACCATGACGCGACTGATGGTCCGCTGAAATACGGTGTCCGGTGAAACGTGACAGTCCGCTTCCCATTCATTTGTACAGGTAAGCCTCGCCCTAGATTTTGTTCCACGTAGGTCAGGCTAACCCTATTATAACTAAGACTTTCTGTTACGTGGACCCTCAGTTTCGTTACACCGGTTCCCATTCATTTGTGTAGGAAGACTTCAAACAAAGTTTGTACCCAGTGGTCACGGTTACCCTAACTGAAACAGGGCGGATTGTTTTATACACGGACCTCTAGTTACGTCGCATCAGGGCTTGGACTCCCCCTTTCTTCATTGATTACATGTGCAAGCATTGTTTTCACACGCTGGGCGAGAGAACTGTTCTCAGGACTTCATGTTTAGTCAGTGAAACCAATTCGCAGTGGGACCTTTCATTATTTTCGCCACAGGCTGGTACCCGATGGGAAAAAATCAACTGGGAAACTTCCCTAACTACCCAATCTTTACTACTGGCATCATTTTAAAATCCTGAACCATCTTTTAAATCACAGAATTTTTTACCCTGATTTTAACGAACTATTAAGTAGAAAACCAAAACCATATCTCCTAGGCGCCAACCTACCTGAGCCATAGATAATGAACTGTCCGTAACTAGGCACAGTGGGCGTCGTCTCTGCTCGTGGTGGTAGTGATTCCTCGTGGTGCTGGCATGGAGATTTAACTACACCAGGTCCTCTCTAGGGGCCAGTACACGTTTATAATTTATTTTCAACCTGAGAGGTTGGTGTTTTTGACAGTTGAAAGGTGCCCTATTTCAAGCTGAGATTCGGCAGTGATAAGAGAAAGAAAAATTGCTGGGATTACCCAATTTGAAGGCGAGGGAAGAACTCAGTTGGGCTGAAGTTTTCACTTGGAATTCTGAAAGGAAACGCGGACACTCACCCCGTTGAAATAGTTAAAAATGATGGCCAGGCGATTTAGAACATTCTTGCTCAGACGTGTTCTGCCAAAGATATCAGCAGTGCGTCTAAGTTTGCTTTTGCTTTGCGCATGGGTATTCTTCGCTCTGAGCGTAGCCCGTAGGGAAATCAGGGAAGCTTATAGTGTTGACTTGGTCCGTACAAAAGGCCGTTCTTTGGTCGCCCAAAGCGCACTTGTTATTGCCCCTGACACAAACTCCAGCTCCTCCAACAGTTGCATGCTCCCCGAGCACGTGTGTGCCAGTAAGGAGGCAACGGAGCCTCGCCGTTGGTACCACCTTAAGAAATACGACTACGTCATCAACCGACCATTGTGTGACCCGAAAGCCCCGCCGTATCTCCTGGCACTGGTGGTCTCCGAGCCGTGGGATTATTACGGAAGGTCCATGTACCGAAGGACTTGTGGGAGTATTAAGACGCACGCCTTTCAGGAGATAAAAACGGTGTTTTTCGTAGGGGAACAACCAGGAACGGAAAATGACATCGCCAATGAAGCTCTTCGGTTTGGTGACGTTGTCAAGATAGGGTTTGTGGATTCCAAGGGAAATCTCACCCTTAAAACGCTTCTGGCGTTTCGTTGGGCGCTTGAGTATTGCCCCGGAGCGAGATTCGTTCTGAAGTGCGGACATGATGTCATTGCAAACTACCCTGAGATCGTGCAGTACCTTTCTAATCTATCTGTAGTTGGTAATTCAACGCATCTTTTCAGCGGACTGCTACGACAGGAACCGACGAGAAACGCGTGGCTAGAGCCTGATTGGGATCCAAATGCACAAAATTTTGCGCCCCACATTGCAAGCTTCGCCTCCCTTCTCTCTCTTGACACTGTGCGCCTCCTTCACTCAGCCTCGTTTTCAAAGCGCCTCCACACAGAGGCTCCATTCATGTCGTCAATAGCAACCGAAAAAGGAATCCGGTTGGACAACAATACAAAGTTTTGGGAAGCTACCAAATTAGGATTTGTGGATTTGGCGCGTGATAGGTGTCGTCTGCTAACGGCGTTGGTCATACATCGAGTTCCCGATCCAATCGTCTGGAATTTGGTTAAGAGAGGATATGTGGACAAGAAAAATGCATGCACAGGAGGCGGGCAGGTTTTTCAAGCCCCACAACCTGTTGTAAAATATGTTGGCAATCCTGAATCAGATCGAGAAATTATACTAGAGAAAGCGGAAGACTGGGTTTATTAAAGCTTGTTGAAATGACACATCTGACTTGATATCATCGATTTCGATGTGTTATGGTTTGTTTGTTAAAATTGGTTAATTAAACATATGTTGCTTATCTTCATATCGTCATAGGCCTATGTTATTGCTTTAAAAAGTCATTCAGCGATTTTATCACTTTAAAAATTCTCCAGGGCTTGTGGCCGAAAAGAATTTGACGATGCTACAGCAAATATCCAACAATGCACACATCAAACAGCTATTCACCATTTAAAAAAAAATGCATTTCCCTTTTGCTCCTGTACTGGAAACAAGGCCCAGTATCAGCATCTTGTTTGTCGTTATCACCCTGAGTAGGCCTATATACCTATATTATAGAGCCGCTTCCAGTGACGGCAGAAGCATGCCAATGCCGGGACGTGGTTCTCAACTAGATATGAACCTCAGGGTGTGAGTAAAAAATGGCCATGATAATGGTAATAATATTGCTTTGTTAATGAATATGTCACGAATTTCGGTAACATATGCTGTAATATATCACGACTTCTGTTGATGATTTACGTTTGATGTTACACGGCATTTGAAGCATGTGCCAGCGCTTTTTACTGATCATTACGTCTATATGGATGTTGTTAATTCAAGGCAACAGAGAATGACAAGAAAGCGTATTATCAAATCATAACTGAAAGGGACAGTCTCTACAAGAACATGTATTTGATGTTCTTCGTTGTACTTCTCTTTGATTTTTAAAATGTTTTAATTTTTTATTAAGTATCAACATTTTTGCCGGGTTCCATTTCCGTTATCGTGCCTTTTTTTCCCTTTTTTCCACGATCAGTTTATGCATTAGCAGACAAAATCGTTTTTTGCTCGGTACGTTTTATTCACGCTCGCTTCTGCTGTCAGTTATCTCGTCCGAACATAGATGGTAGCTACATGTATCTGCTGAAAACTTATTTCATTAAGCGGTTAGATATAATACATATAATACGGGTAAATGTATACGTAAAGAAAGTAATTCTCAAGTAGATAAAGCATATTTTTACGGACTGTATAGTTCCCCCATCTTTTGATCTATGGGGATAGAGTCAGTTCGACACATGTAAGTACATATGTTACACTATATTATGCCCACCTCATTTTCAGACAACATTATACCTCACAACTGAGACCTTTAGTCAAACTAAATGCAATAAATTACAATACCAAATTATATATACACTACCCGAAATTATTACACAACTTCAGTGACCCTTCGTAACACCTAAAAACGGCTGTATTTAGGGGATTCAAATTAGTATATTTTCGCCAATCTATGTCTGATTTTCAATAAAAACATATTTTTTGATTGCTCCGACTAAGTGCCATATCTACCAGATTGGACAAAGAGTGGACACTAGATTGGTTTTGATAATATTTAGAGGCAATGTAGCATGCTCAATTTTGAAAGTGTACGTCAGATTGTGAACTAGCCGACTGTTAGTTGGGGTGGCACGTACCTGCGGTAGGTTATCACATAGACGCACGTGTACTTAATGTATGTGAATGTGATTTCTAACCATTATCACCATTGGCTCTATACCTGACTCACAGTTTACTTCAACCGAAACTTCGGCGGGTGGGACAAAAGAGGGATGAGATTGGCTCTTAGGGTGATCTAACCATAGTTACACGGGATGCTGGGTATGCACTTCAAGAGCTTTATAAGGCCTCTATTTCACACAGAACACGAATCCCACGAATCGCCAGGAATTGACAAATTTCAGGATTCGTGAGGATTCGTGAGATTTTGCCAATTTTCTGGTCTAATTCGACACGCTCTACGATTCAGTTACGATACAGGTGCGATAGTGTTACGAATATTCGTGGGATTCGGCTGGAATCGCCCGAATATTGTCCAGAAATTCACTACGATTATTTGGAATCGTGAGTTCGTGACCAAAACTTTGAACAGCTCAAAATTTTTGCCACGAATTCCCGATTGATCAAGAATTGCAAGAACTGACTACGATTATATACGAATCTGTTAAGAACTTCACGAACTGATTACGATTCAACCACGAATCCTGAAATTTTCAATTCCTGGCGATTCGTCGGATTCGTGGTCTGTGTGAAATAGGGGCATCAAAGTTTTTGCCACCGATTCCTGTTGGTCAAGAAGTGCAAGAACTGACTACTGAAATATACGAATCTGTTAAGAACTTCACGAACTGATTACGATTCAACCACGAATCGTAAAATTTGTCAATTCATGGCCATTCGTGGGATTCGTGGTCTGTGTGAAATAGGGGCATAAGGCCGTAAATCACACGCTTCGTGTGGTCACCATAAGGATTGAAAAAAAAAACGGTCTTGACATGCTACTCTTTTTTTCTGCCTCAACCTACTAATTTTCCATTTATGCATTTCTCCTGATTTTCATGGTAGCAGCCTTTAGTAGACAACCGTAGTCACAATTATTTCCTGTCACCGAAGCAAATTTCATTGACAATCTCCGCATATCTTCAGGAAATATCGTAGAATCCTGGCAGCGGCTGTATGTACACGTTAAACACACCATGGCACACTGTCGAAACCACCAACCACCACCTGAAAAAAATTTTAATTCTTGGTTAAAAATATATACACTTGTACATGTATCTACATGTATAACGTTTTTATGAATTGGATTCATTTTCCTGATATGATTGTAAACCAGCGTGCTCTTCGTCCTATGCCAATCTATTTGTACATTTAGCGGGGAATTAAAGTACCTCTAATTCATGAAAATATTGCAAACTAAGTATACCGCACGGTATGAAACGAAACGAAACGTGTTTCTACTCAGTCCAACTTCCAGATCTAACGCAGAAGAGTCAGTCAATTATTTACCGGGTCATTTTCTATAGATCCTGTAAAGACTTTTTGGATGAATCTTTGCAAGTTACATGTAACAAGGGCCTTTGACTACGGACTGGAACGCCATGACTTGAAGTTAGAGAAGAGACAGATAAAAAAGTTCTTGTATAGATGGACGGAATCCTCCTGTCATTTTGCACCACAACTTACCGAAGCTAATCGGGCAGTTTGTATTTCGGGCCCGGTCATATGTTGAAAAGCTTGCTCCCAATGGATTCGTCAAGGATTCCACGGCTTTAGTCGTGTTGGTCGTGTTAAAAGATTCGACCAACATGTCCTTCACTTTGTAATTCTGATACTCGGACCCAATCCTAAACAGGCTCCACCTTGCGTAGTAATACCTCCCGTTGCAAGAAAGTAGGTCCATTTGTAAGGAATAGTTATTTTGATTGGTCAGTTGATAGATGACCTTATTTCCTATCCAGAACTGATTGGTTGGATCACCAAACCCGTGCTTGTATGACGTCCAGCTTTGGTTAAAGTTCACGTCATCATTGTAGCGCCTCATGATGATCAGCCAGTCACCATCATACGTGAAAGTGTGATTATCTGAAACACAACTTGCAGTATACAGAAACATGTAATTCTAAAGATTATCTGCATTAATTTAAAAAATCCAAAATATTTTAACCAAGGAACGCTAGGTTTCATGTTGATATTGTAGGACTAACTTTCTATACGACACAATATTAAAACTATGAATGTTAATGATACCCTTACTGGTATATTGTATTCATTGAAAACTGTTCCCACGTGTCTGGCTGTCTGCTTAACTACATGTAAATTGTTCGTCGCGCGATTTGTCTGCACGCTCAGAAGCCTTTATTTTAATGTCTGTCTGTTTGTCTGTCGGACCGGTCTGTTTCATTTTCCCCCAATCTGTGTATTGATACTCACTCGTCTGTCTGTTTGTCACTGTGGACTCACCTCTTGAGTTGGAAGCCGTCTAAAAATAAAAGTAAACTACATTCAACTCAATAGACTGTTTCACCCTTACTGTTAGAAACGATTTAAAATAAATAAATATTATTTTTTGCATGTCATCCAAGACCGAAATATTAGCCAATATACAAACTAGAAAAGCACGCGGAAACGGCGGACCTCCGTCAAGGCATCATTAATGGTCCATCACCAAACCTAATCAATTTTAAGTTGGTGACTTAACTGAAATTATTGAGTAAGGCTTAAAACTAAATAACCAACAAAAGCAAAGTGATCCAAAGTGGAGGTAACCGTGATATTCAATCTACCTCTATTCTGCCAGTCACGTTCAACCTATCAGTCAGAGCACAGGCAGTAGGGGAATAGGTCCCGTCTTCTTCGCTTATGACGTCACATCTGACGTTGTTGTTGACGATCTCCGGCGTTCCGTTCAAAAGATCACATTGTTGTGATGCTTTTCGAAATCCAAATGAAGCACAACTTGAAAAATATTAATTATTATAATTTAAGAATTTTTAATTTTATTGAGGCCATTTCTTTAAGAAAAAAGGAAAAAGTTAATTGCGATGAAAATAACCACCGTTTTCATTCCTGTTTTAGGATGCCATGTTGATAAAAGTAGCCTATGCCATCTGATGCTTTAGGAAGTTTTATCCAAACCGAACTTTAAGCTGCATTTTCACTCATGTTTGTGACGGCTTTGCTTACGAGTAGTTCGACATACTGTATCGCGACAGACTACGTGATGAAAAACGATAATTACGGCCTGTCTAACTGCCATGCATTAAGTGAAGCCGTCACAATTAAACTGGAAATTTGACGTTCAATTGCAAGGAATTAACTGATTTAGCCTGCTAGCCGGTGTAGACCAATAAAGTTTCATCTGTCGATCCGCAAAAAATATTGGCTGGGAAATATCAATTAATTTCTTCTATAGCTATTGACAATTGAAACGCTATAAGCTAACGAAAATATTCAACATTACCCTGGTGTGCTCTCACATATATTTGCACACGCCGACGCAGACATGATATTTTGGACAGTCTCCTGCACAGCGTCTGTCATGCGGCATCTTGGAATTGCGCAAAAACATGCACCGCACTGCGAATGCACGTATTGAAGAGAATGGCCAACGAGGACAACAAACGGCAATAATAGCATGGCTGTCCTATTGCGTGAACTTCTGGACATGCTGTTCGATCTTCACATCAAGTATCACAAAAATAGTTGTACATACAAATCCTAATGGCACTTTCCGTTTACGAAAATTTTCCGTGTTATTCGAATTTTGGCTTCAGGCCATTGAAAACAGCATGTTTCATCAATTCGCCTTTTAGTGAAGGCATCTAAAATGTCCCTCTGTCGTTTGGTGCGAACTCTGAAGCCGATTCATCTGAAGAAAGCTATTTGTACGAGATAACCCTCGTTTGCTCTTGACTCCTTTCCATACGGGGTCTTGTGCGAAGTGTTTATCTGGCACTTGCGGTTTGATCTGTTTACTTGCTCCCAGGATATCCCATGGTGCATTTCTGCTCAATGATATCACTGTGATGTTGACTGGACACCTCTGATATATACTACTACAGAATAACCGGCTGTGCCCTGTCATTGACCCTTTACATGTTCACCCAGGCAGTCAGTTACTAGGAGTGGGACTGTCAAGTATATTAATTAATGATAATAAGTAGAGGGCAGTCTATTGTTGACGATAGTGTTTCGATATTTGTGAATATCCTACAAATGGCGCATCAGGGGCGTGTCTCACAATGAAATTAATGAACAAAAACTGAGCTGATCGAAACTTTAAGACTAAGGGAGCGTTCACATGACAAGTCTATTTTCTAAAAATCTATTTTCTATTCGCGGTATCTTTTGATCACGGTCTGTGCCCTGAATATCCCGCGGCGTAATTACTGGCAGCGCGAGCCAGTTACTTCCGTGATCAGAAGATACCGCGAATAGAAAATAGATTTTTAGAAAATATACTTTCCATGTGAACGGTCCCTAAAATTCCAGTCAAATCCTTCTCCTATTATTAATTATCATTATTCCAGTTATGGTGCCTCTGTATCAGACCTTTTTTCTCTTTATCCAAACGGACAAAATGATATCCTGAAAAGACTAAACAAAATGGCTTAAAAGTAATATAAGGCATGTGATAATTCGAGATGCTCCCTTGTATAGTTAGCGTCGTACAATGATGATGGACCACCTGTCCTAGGTGACAATCCTCAAAAAGGTGAGGTGAGGTTCACAATACAATTGGGACTAACAGGTGACATATTATGGACGCAGTTATTGGCAATTCCTTTTGAAAAGATGGATTGCGTCCTAGTATCAGTGGATATCTAAATGTATTATTTTGGTGTACTGGTGCTTGAGGAAACAGAGATTGATGGAGTCACGATAATCAATAAACTCTAATTTGTTGGGCCCCGTGTAATGTTGCATAATTTTTTGTTCACCAGTGGATTTCAAGATGATCTTGATAAATGCTGCATGCGGGCTGTCCTTCAATCATTGAACTAATTTTGTCGTCTGAAGCAGACGATAAACCCCAAAGAACAAGAACAGAAAGTTTCAGCAGGTCAGGGGCGGATCTGGGATTATTTGAAAGGGAGGGGGGGGGCGTGGATGCGAAGCCGCCCCCCCCCCCCCCCCCCCCCACACACACACACACACACACACACACACACACTTGGCGTGGTTTCGGGGCCCCGAAATGTTTGGTATGTTAGAGGGCGAACGGTGCCATTGGGTACGGTTTAGAGCTAAGATTCAGCTAGTCAAAATTCTAATTTCAAGAGGGGACCAGCATATATCGCTAGTCATTAACATGACATTTAAAAGAGCGATGATCACATTGATTCTTCATAATATGACACCTGTAGAGGAAAAAGATTGAAATGATGTATAACAAATTAAAATGAAAGAAACAGATAGTGAGAGAGGCGGTCGTAGCCCCCCTCCCCTCCACACTCAACTTACATTTAAAGTTTTATTTGTGTGCAAGGGCTTCAATATTTTAATTGATATTGGCCGTTTTCCTTTATTTTTATTTCGTATCTTGAGAGAAAAAAAGGCAATATTAGAATTATTTGCTCTAATTTTAGCAAAGATCACTTTCTCGTGCCCTGGGCCCCGTAACTCGAAGGCAGCGCGAATAGCGATATCACACAGAGGCTATGTACAATGTATTATATGGGGCGGGTATGGGCGAGTTATGGAATCGAAACGTTTGCGCTCAGTCGCAATGAGCGATGCTTTCGAGTTAGGTCTGCATAGCCGAGGTAAAAAGGGGATCCCCCTTTTTTAAAACTGGGTCAGTTGCAGTGCGGTTTGCGCACGCGTAACTTTAAGGTGAACAGGAAACGGAAAAGTATGTCACACATTTTCTCTTTTAATTTTTTATTAAGAAGGTTTTTTTTTTATTAGTCTGTTGATTTCACGGGTAATCATAGGTGTTCATAATGTCCCTGCCTGGGTACAGACAGGCGATCTCTGTAAGAAGCGTTTGGGGCCTCGATAAAAAAGTAGGAGTGTCTTCTTACCAGCGGGACAAGTAGGGCCTATATACCTAATCATGTAAACGCCGTACGCTGATTATGCAGTGATATGTGTAGAGAGATCTGTCCAAACAGCTTTATNGACTGACATGGTTGAAAAAAATGGGAGGGGGAGGGCTTCCCAGCTCCCATCCACCAACCGGCTCCAATGCCTATTATAATTGTGTACATTACCTGTAATGTTTATAGCTTCCGCACTATTTGCACTACTGTTTATCTTTGTCCCATCATAAACTGCATATGTTTAAAAAGGATTTAAAGTGCTTTGAATTTTATTTTTCATCGACCTTTGAATTTTAATCTCTACTGGAATTTGTGTTTGACCTTTAACCTTGATCTAGGCCTGCCGTACGCGGACGGACAAGGTGCGGAAGATACTTGACACAGTTCCAATGCGAGGAAAACAAGCCATTCATGTCTTTTATGATGCTCTAGTAGAAACAGGTTTGTACTCAAATAATGTGACGTACGTATCAGACCATAAGTGAAGGAATTGTTTTAAAATTCCGACCTTCATTTTGTCAAGATCGTCACTCAAATTGCAAGTATACTGCACAATCTTAAAATAATACTTTTTTATTTCTGGGCTTTTAACGTGCGACTGCATTCCTTGCTTGCAGTCCAATGAGCTATGTGTGGACGTAATTCCTGCCTGTTTGTAATCCACTGTAATTGTTCATTTAATTTTGAATTTTGGTACAGCGGCCGTTCGAATCATTTAGAAAGAGATATAAATATAGAAATAAAAAACCGTTTTAAGAAACAGGCGGTGTCGATGTTATGTAATTAATCTATTTATTTCCTGAATTCAGAAAAGCAATGAAACAGCTCATTATCTAAGTATTAACGTTTCAGAGCAAGGACATTTAGCAGACCTTCTCTTTCCCGAAAGGAAAGAGGAGCGCCTTGCCAAAGAAGCGGCACGCGCGCCCCCTACATCTACTCCGTGTCCTGCAAACACACAACCTGTTAATACCCAACCACGTGTTACTAAACCAATGCAACCGGAAGAGGAAGACGTGCAGTTACCAGGTAGAGTTCAGTGGTATCCTAGGCCTATGTGTTGGATATGATCGCTACTGAATTATTCTCTCTCTCTCACTTTATCTCTCTCGTATTTTTGTATTTTGATAAAGCAAGTACTAGTAATTATATATCAGTTATTATTTTGAAAAGTATATAAAACAAAAGTGTGATTTTTGTCAGGGAATCGCCTTTAAGTCAAATACTTTTTTAATAACTTGTAGACACTATTTCTTGTGTTTGCACTATAGAGTTGCCATGTGACGCCGGGCATTCTCTGGTATTTGTTGATTCTTTGAAGTTCGACTTGTCTGACAGTGTACTGCGGTTACAAGAAAAATATTCGCAGGTAATTTTCAGAAGCTCTTATTACCACGCCTTCAGAGTTGTGCGTGTACCATTATTGCTGATACTGTGCCACTAATTTTGCAATTGATCCTTGCTTTTAAATTGTGTTAAATTTTTAAAAAGTCTGAATCTATTTAAAGCCTTTCACGTACATGTTTAACCGTTTTCAACCTCACCATAGTAACATCTGTCCATTATGCATGATAGGGCATTTTCCTGTTTTTACAGGTTTATAAGAATGTCAACGCAAACAAAGGGAGAGCGTTGATTATCCTTAATATTAAAATGGAAGGCCATGATATACTGAGGACCAATTTAACTCGACTTTTGAAAAAGCTAGGCTATAAAGTTGATCACAAGAAGAATTTAAAAGCAGAGGTAAGTATCTGAAAGGAATCGGTCCTATAAACAGTCAAATTTAGAGAATTGGAATTAAAACGCATAGACTTAAGTGAAAGTTAAAGCGATATAAATTCAAACCAAATTGATTAAGTATACTGCCCAAAATAATGTTTTGATAATGATTTTTAAACGTTGAAAAGAGAATTCTTAGAAGTGCGTTGTTTTTATGTCAGTCAGAACAGAATGTATATTTATGAATTTTGAAAGAAGGCAATATTTAAAAAAAAGCTGTTTTAAAGTATGCAAATAATTACCTTAAGCAAATGATACATCACTGTGTAACGCACTCTGTAGAGAACAAGGGCCCTTTCCATAGAAACTATCGTAGATCTTCGTAGATCGGGCCATCTCCGCGGGATCTTTCGCTGAATGCAATCAGTTTAACAGATATTTGGCTTTGAGTGCAGTGTAGAATACCGGGAGATTATACGAGTTGGAAACGAGGAGGCGTGTTAATCTGTTAAACTGAATTTTAAAATATCAGAGTGGTATTTAGCTTTTACTACACACTAAAATAACTGACCGACCTTTGAGTTATAATCGATGGGTAACAATCCTTGTTATCGCAATAATCTTCCCGAGTAAAAACTTCCATTAGCTTTGTAAGCTTACAATATGAAAAATGTTTTTATGATCAGCTTGTGCTAAATAAATATCAAAGAATCTTCATATTTCAGAAAATTAAGGAAGTCTTACGTACCGAGGCCCAGAATGTGGAACACGGAGACGCGGAGTCCTTCATTTGCATATTCATAGGTTACGGCAAAGGGGGAATATTAACGGGGAAGGACGGGAAAACCATTTGCCTCAGTGAAGTCACATGCTTCTTCAACGGACAGAACTGTGCTTCTTTGGTGAATAAACCAAAACTGTTTTTCGCGCAGACATGTGGTAAGTTTTAAAAAGTTCCCCGAGACCTGGGTCGAAAGTACAGCCTTTTGGGCCAAAAAACGCCCACTCAGAATCCATATTTGGTCTAAGCCATGGGCATTTCACAGGTTGGGACAACATAGGGGGTAAAATGGTCCAGTTTTTCAGAAAAATAGTCGTCAGCTTGAAATTACTGGTCACAAGCCTATAAGGGGTGACTGCTTATGTGCAGCGTGAAGTAGCGTCCGCATTACTTGTCCATTAAGCCTAGGTCCCAACTACGTTTTGGACGCAAGGTTTTTAGGTACCTTGCAACCGGCTAGGACATAGCTAGATCGCACGTAGCGGCTGTTGATCATGTCGAATAGTTACTGCGTGCTGTTTGCGTCCTCCAAAAATCGCACGATGGACGTGCTCCTCACGCACAAACTCCAACGTTTTCCCCATTTTTTTTGGCCGTAGATCACACGTAGCAGTCCGTACAGTCGCTTGGGACTAAGGCTTTACTGACATAAAACAGAGTACGGTAATGACTCGATCTTTGCATTAAGCAAAATTATCTAACTTTCAGATGCATAATTTCATGATAAAAATATGTATTTTTTGTATATAGCATTATTCATTGTGCACGCACCTTTACAGTGGATTATGAAACTAACAAGACTGAAGGGGAAACCAGAGAAGTTATGGAACAACTTACAGCCGATCTGCAAGCGGCGTCTTTACGAGATGGTGGAGAGGGGAAGGTTGCTACTGATGCTGTGCCTACCATGGCAGATATATTTGTAGCTGCTTCTACGGAATACAGTGAGTATATCTTGGGCTCTATTCCCATAGATTTTAGATCGATCTATCCCCGCGGGGAGTCTCACTAGATTACTTTCAGATAATCCGACTTAAATGTCCGTCCCGCCTACTACAAGCTGTAAGAGGGTAATTAACTTTCGTGTCCGCCCGTGAACCCCCAGGGAGTTAGGTCGATCTAAAGTAGGTCGATCTAATCTATGGAAATGGGGTGTAAGTTATTAAGAGACTAACGCGCCTCCTCATAGCGTTGAGTAGAATACGGAAAAGCTGGTGATATTTGAGTGTGTTGGAAACAAAAGGAGGCGTCTTAGTCTCTTCATCTGATTGCATTCAGCGAGATTCCCCGTTGATTTTGTACACATCAGCTAGGTCGACAAAAATCATTGTGAATGGTCCCTTATATATAGAGAAGAAATTGAACCATCTTGATTTAAAATATAGTCAATAATCTTTATTCGTAAACAACCAAAACACAAGCTCACATCTTTGGAGAATTGGACATTTTAGTTTTTGTTTCTAGATGTTCCTTTTCTACTAATGTGTATGGTAAAACCTTTTCACAATCACTGCAGAATTGTGTGAGGCTCATTATTTTATTGTTTGCATTAAAAAATAAAAATGAAAATATGGACATCTTTTTGGTTGTTTATTGTTTGTCTGTCAAATAAATTACTGGACGTAAGATAAATACAATTAGAAAGTAAACCTTGGTACTGGCAGGTCATTTTGTTTGAATTTGTCGCTCAGTCTGGTTTAGAATACTGATTTTTATGTACAGACACAGATGTGTCTGTACATATAGCCATCATCTGCGTCTGTCGTCGCCGTCGCCGTCGCCGTCGTCGCCGTCGCCGTGCACTTTTACCGATAACACGATAAGTGGAAAACTGTTTTTCTTTTGGCTTGAAACTTACAGAACTGATGAATATTCATAATACGCAGGTCAAGTTCGAAAATCAGCATGATCGGGTCACTTATAGGGAATTTATGCTGTTTTTTCACTTTTTTCAGCATATATGCAACACCGATAACACGATAAGTGGAAAAC